GAGGCAACGTTAAGAGGTTATCGTTTCAAAGGCGAGGCGAAACGACGCTTCGCTTGCATCGCAAGTTGAAAGAATTTTCTTTCGAAAACGGACCGTCCCTTTTCCTTTCTCTCCCTCTCTCTTTCTCTCTCATCCTTCTTTTATCGACGGTTCGTTGCTCGCGATCCGAAGTGAATTCGCTCGTCGATTTTCTTGTAATATAAAGACGATTGTAAAATAGCATTTGTTATACTCTTCTTAGCCTGTAATGTAAATTAGACAGAAATCATCGACACGCTGTGTATATACGTTTAGATGAGCGAAGAGACGACGGTCGTTTCGGTACCGATCGGTTCGATCGTGTGCCGCTTTATAAAAATTCGTACACGTACACGTATACGCACACACGCACGCATGTATGCACGTACAAGAGGCATACACACATACACACACACAGTAACACAAAGAAACAGAAATCTCTTTGCCACGTGTATTCGATGTTCTCCCTTGGAAACCGGAAACGAACGATCGACCGCCTCCGTCGTTCGAAAATCGATGACGGTGGTGGTCGCATCTGCGTTCGAAAGCGCGACCCGAGCCCCCATTTATTATTCGCTCATTGTTTCCACGCAATTGTGCCATTTGTAGTTGGGAAGTTGGCTGGTTGGATGGAACACAGGTGATGATTATTAATTTACCAGTGGCAGTGCCGTAGAATTATCTTCCTACGGTGGATAATCCCTGATATACGGTGTTTCGTTGTCGATCGAAATCAGTCGATGCAATTGGCAGACCGCGAGCTTACACGCACGTATTTTCCCGACGCACGCGAGAGATTAAAAAGAGAGTCAGCCACACAGATGACGAAAGTACAAATTTCGAAAGTTTAAGAATTATTACTCGTGATTGATTTAATCCCCAATGGGATAAAATGAATCCTGGAAAAATTCAGTAGGTGACACACCTACACTTGGAAATATAATCGACGTGATTAAATTATCCGCGAATGCATGAACGTTAGCCCAGTCTTGATATTTAGCAGAAGAATAGTAAAAAATCTCGTTTCACTGTCACGCCAGCCAACTTTCCAGCCGTGCCGAAAGCCATGTTATACGTTCTTCACGTGCGGAACGTCTTGGAACGGATCTCGAATCGACGTGAGACGACACACTTTACAACGAACGACACAACATCGCGTCGCGGGGTTGATTTTGCGACGATTATGCGAGATATTTAGCCGAGAGGACAGAGGTTGATTTTTAAAATTACGAATCGCGCGGTACATTCGTCGAGTCGACTTTAAGAGATTTTTGGCGTTTAATCGTGCTTCTTGTCGTTCGCAAAAAGTTTCTCGAGTTTGTCTGGGAAACATAACGTTTTTTTCGTTGTCCAACGTTGAAATTCAAAGATGATGATTGGATAATGATTCCTTTGTATGGTGCGAAACGTGCAATATTTTAGCTCGTGGTCCTTCCTCGCGCGAAATTCGTTGCTCTCGATTCGTTTTTGGACAAGTAAATATACTCCGGCATCTACGAACGTTCTGTCCCGTGTAATCCAGATTGCTGTCGATCGACGTCGAGTGCATTTCTCCAAGGGGATGTTCCGACTGTCGTCGGAGCCAAGATTTCCCATATACTTCGTGAGATAGATATCTCCGATAGCACCTTCTTCTCTATTGCTTTTCAGCTGTTTCTCTCCAACAAATGTCGAAATTTCCGCCAGTTTTCTCCTCCATCAGCAGTTTCTAAATTCGTGTAACAGAAACTCTCGAACGCGCGGAGGAAGAAAAGAAGAGTAAAGAAAAAAAAAAAAAAAAAAAAAAAAGAAGAAGAAGAAGAAGGGAAAAAAGGATGGCAATTTCGTCCACGCGAAAGATTCGCAAAGATTCGCAAAGGGGCGCGAATCGAGGCTCTCTCTCGCTATAGGCCAGTGGAACGACGAAATCTCGCTCAACGGCTCCGAAACTTTCAACGAAAATAAATTTTCACGGGCGGCGGCAGCACGTACAAGCCCAGCCATCCGTGCGGCCGGCCGAGGCACACACGTACCTTTTACACACAGGTAGTAGAAAGTGTCGCGAAAAGTGAGAAAATTACGGTACAGGGTAATTTGATATTATATACCTATATACCTATATACGATGCACTACCTCAGTCAGAGACAAGGCTTTTTACGCGATATAAAATTTCTAATTAATCGCATTAGCCGGCGAGAAGAAACGAGGGGGTGGGGGAAAGGGGGGTTAAGCGAGGAAGGACGCGCAGACGCGACCGCGAAAACCACTCGGGATTTTTCCTCGTGGTGTGTACTACGTGACACAGAGGTTTTCCGGTCGCGACGTCCG